AATTATAATAACTTATATATATATATATATATATATATATATATATATATAATGTCCTGAGCCACCTGCATCCATCGACTTCCTGCATGTCTTACCAGGTCGTCACTCCGTCTAGTGGGGGGTCGCCCTACACTACGCCTACCGGTACGAGGCTGCCCCTCGAGCTTTCTTCCCCATCGGTTATCGGTTCTTCGAGCTATATGGCCGGCCCATTGCCACAGGACCGTGCTTTGTGGCATTACTTGGGGGAGGCCTATGTTCAGCAGTGGACTTGTGAAGGGCTGTAATGATGATGATGATGATGATATATATGTGTGGCACAAAAAAATGCGTATGATAATATATTCGTCCTATACTTAAGTACCACACAGAAATGTCGCATCTGAACATATTAATTTCATAATCTATATTCCATGACACGAGATGGCGTCTTAGGAATAATTTGTTTTATTATTAATCTATAATACTTTTTTATTGATTAAGTATCTTATTAACCGATGAAAAGTAATTCCTTGGTTTTTACTGACATTTTTTGAGTTATTTGTGCAATTTCTAAGTACACACGACGGCATATTTTTATCTGACAACTCTACAAGCGCCTAGTGAGTGACTAACTAAAGTGCGGTGTATGCACCGCAGTTGAGTGGAACAGAGTAGCTGAATGCAGTGTCGCCTCTAGTACGTAGTACATAATAGCTCAATGCTGAAAATAAAGTATGTCCCTCTTACCCCAACTGACCTTAATCGAAATTCGTGTATAACTTTTCTTCTCATTTTCTTCCTTGGCTGTGTTTTTAGAAATTTTATAGAGATTTATAGAAGATTTATAGATATAGCCGTTTATAGAAACATGATAAAAACAGCCCAAGATACATAGTTGACAGTAGCATACCTATAAAAATATAAACAATATACATGCTTCTTGTTTGAAAGGTCAACGCTGAAATAAATGGAGTACCCACAGGCTTACATATTCATTGGATTCTTGGCATAGAACAATTTAAAATGAAGTTATAGACCTAATAATGTTTTTAGAATGCTTCCAAAAACGCCCAGTTTTTCGCTAACACATCTGTTGTAGCATAGTAATTTAGAATACGATTCCAAATGTACATTAAAAGTGACGAATTTATCAAGGATATTGAACTCAATAATGAAATTAGTGTTGGCAATTTCCTGGACACATTGCAGTACTAATTAACTACGGTAATAATATTATTTAAAACAAGGAAATATAATTGGATTTAAAAGCAATACGTGATCCATGGACTTGTAGGTTGTAACGGTATTGGTAACGGTGATTCATAATATGATTTAAGTTTGTGGTTATTAAAAATAAATAAATTAATAAAGTGTATGAGTTGAATTTTGCTCGTGGTGGGGTAAATTCAGAAGAACAAATAAAAGAGAATTTCGATTATCCACGTCGTCTGGGGTATATAAATGAACATGCGTTTTCGAGTATCCGCTCTAGGATGGATTTCTTCAGTGGATAGACGGAATAACCCAAACTTTATCATGCCCTGCTGCTATGATTCCTTGATGCTGTTCATAGATTTCATCTATTCTAAGCTGTTCTGAAGTTCCCCTGACCATTCTGATTCTAAAATTCAAGCTTGCTTGTTAGTAGATGCCGTAAGTGAAACTAATTCCTACTTTTGAAAGCGAAAAGATCTAACACGATTTGAAAATTAAAATAACGCTAAAAACATAAACACTCGCGCCTGTCACCCAGAGGGGTAGGCAGAGACTACAGACTTCCATTTGGCACGATCCTGACACACCTCTCTCGCCTACTTCACATCCATACACCTACGCATACATGCTCGTCGGTTAAGGGTACTCCTAATTTAGCCCGTTTTCAATAAATCGCCAATTTGGTCGATAAATTTTCGCCTAGGACGTCCCTTTCCAACTCTGCCATTCACTTCTACAACATAAACTTTCTTTGTCACTCTTTCCTCATTCATTCTTTCACATGACCAAACCACCGAAGCATTTCTTTCTTAATCCTGGTCACAACATCATCTTGCAAACCACACTCTTCTCTTTTACACAATTTCTTACCCTGACATTCAGATTCAGCCCTAATATACTCCTTAAATACCGCATTTCTACTGCGTTCATTCTACTCTCGTGCTTCTTCTTTCACTACCATACGTTAAAGTAGGGACCAAAACAGCATTGTGAATTGCCATACGTGCCTTTTTCAAAACATTTTGACTCTTCACAATAGAGTGTAGGGTCCCATTTATTCTATTTCCTGCATTCACTCGTCGTTCTATATCTTCGTCATTTTCTTATCATATCTCCCATCCCTGCTAAATACGCAACCCAGATATACAAACTCATCTACTTGCTCGATCAACTCCCCTTCTATTCTTATTTCACGTATCGTCTTACTTTCTTCTCTTTCAAAAACCATTCCAACCAACCTTCGTCTTACTTGCGTTCACTTTCATACCCCTTTCTTTTAATGATCTGTTCATTAATGTAACCATCATTTGCAGCTCGGCCGCTGACGACGCAAGAATAACTTGATCATCGGCGTACAAAAGGCATTTGACGGTTAACTCACCCATTCTTAATCCGCATTCTTCAACTTTCAAATTTTGCAAACAACTGTCCATAAATAGGTTGAACAGGAAACGGGGAAAGGGGGAAGCCACACAGCCCTGTCTGACACCTTTATGGATGCCAAACCAGTCAGAGTAGACCCCGTTGATCCTAACACAACCACTAGAGTCCCTATAAAGCGACTCCAATGCCTGTATCAAGCCAGCGTTCAACCCAAATGAATTCAGTGTTTTCCACAGCAAATCCCTATCCACTCTGTCATAGGCCTTTTCAAAGTCCATGAACGCACAAAAACCTTTTGGTTTTTGGACAAAAACTTTTCCGCGATCATGCGCATGGAAAACACTTGATCTATACATTCCATTCCCTTTCTAAATCCCGCTTGCACATCCCAAATTTTTTCATCAGTTTCTTTCATGACCCTTTCAATCAGTACCTTAGCATACAGTTTTCCCACTATGCTAAGAAGGCTGATACCACGGTAGTTTTACAGTCCTGCTGCGAATACGTTTTCCTTTATATATTGGAAATATCACGGCTTTGCACTAGTCTACTGGTACCCACTTCGGCTCCCAGCATAAATTAAACAAGGTGTGCAGCAGGCCTGCCACCACTTCCTTTCCAGCCCTTAGCATTTCGAGTGAAACTCTATCATATCCGGCAGCCTTACATGCTTTCATGCTTTTCATTGCTTTCATTATTTCATCTATACTTTTCTCGCTACCTCTTTCCTCTTCTTTCGGAGTTTCTACTTCATTTATTTTATACGTTGTCTCCTCACTCATAAAAACGCTTTCAAAATATTCCTTCCATCTCTTTAAACTCAAAACTTCATCATTCAGAATATAGCCATTCTTATCTCTTATAGCATTCATTATAGACTCTTTTGAATGTCCCCTGGCAGTTTTTACGAGTTTCCAGAACATTTTAATATTTGCCTGGAAGTTATCCGATATTCTTCTATCATTCTTATTCGTTCTTTCTTGCTTTTTCTTTTCAACTACTTCGTTTACTCTCGTATTTAGCTGTCTAAAGACTGCCTTTTTTCTTTCAATATCATCATTCGTACTGCCAGAATTACCAGCCTTTATTGCTAGTAAATCTAGCCATGCTCTCTTCTTTGCTGCACGTTCTCATCGTCCCACCATAACGTATTATTTTTCCTTTCATTCTTTCTCTTACTAACACCACATACTTCGTAACTGCATCCACTAAACTTTCATTTCATTCATACATAATTCATCCAAACCACTTATATTTTCTTTCAGTCTACATTTGAACTTGTTTTTCTCACCTTTCTCTTGTAACCTTTCAGTTCTAATACACTGTAACGCAGTGGTAGACACAGATGACCGATGGCGCCAACGCCTGAATAGACCATTAATTCGGCATAAAACCAAATAATGATCCGTTCCTACGTTATACCCCCGGTAAACCCTTGTATCTCCCACTGCTACTACGCATCTACCACTGCGCCCCTCATTCTTTCATCCACAATTATGAAATCTATCATGCTTCTATCATCACCTCTTTCCCAAGTATACGTGTGAATCCTCTTGTGGCGAAAGCAAGTGTTCGTCACAAAAAGATTCTTTTCCATACATACGGTGAGGAGGCTTTCACCATTCTCATTTATACTTTCATCACCAAACGTTCTCAATACCCTTTCATAACCAAGCCTCCTCACCCCAACCCTTCCATTAAAATCTCCTAGCATAATAATATTTTCATTTCCCTTACATTTCATTAACACCATCCTTACTATTTCCCAAAACTGCTCTCGGATATAAGTGGGCTTAGACATGTCTGGGGCGTAGACCCCTAGCAGAAACAACTTCTTTAAGCCCACTTTCATTCGTATCCATAGCGGTCTTGGGCTTACACATTCATACTCTTTCACACATAGGCCCATTCTTTCTGAAAGGATGATACCTACTCCCTAGCATGCCCGCTCAATCTCGTCTACACCAGACGAATTTACAATATGCGGTATACATGCCATGTGTAGTGATATCCTTCCCCTTCCGTTTCGTATCTTTTACACATAACACATCTATTCCTCTATCATACATCATATCGCATACTTCATCCATTTTATCATTCATTGCTCCACATACATTCATCGTAGCCAGACGGGCCTCTGCAATCCACTTTTCGCCCCTCCGGGAGACAGAACGTGACGGGTGGCGAACCTCGTCCCCGAAAATAACGCTAATCGAGTAAATTTTGCAATACTTATAATAATTTAATGTCTGGACCGTAAAATTTCCTAGAATTGTAAGATAAGTGGTAAAGAAAGTCTCCTTATATAGTTGTAACATAAAAATTTTAATATGTCCAATACAATAATAGCACAATGAAACGTACACATAAAATTTTATTGTATATTTTCCTAGAAAAATGTACGATTTTAAAAATAAATTTTAAATATATTTCATCGGCATTGGCTTTTTCAAAATTCCCTTAATAGGCGCGGTATTTTCATCCCGCTGTTCTGTTTGAGGAGGAGGTTCTGCCGGTGGGGCAACACTATCGCGAGCCAGCGTTGGTTTTGCCCGCCAAAATGCTCGTGGCGTAAAAGCGTATGTTGAGTCAATAGCTGTTACTGTAACAAATCAAAAAAACCTATTTAAATAATTTTATATAAATAATAATAATAGCGAAATAGTAAATGGATTTTAGGATCCGAACTCTAGTTTAACAGCTAGAGATTTCGTACTCGAAGGATTCGTAGAATCGTAGAATTTGTACCAGCTGATGTCATGAAAACAAGGTTATCTTTTAATAATATTTAAAAAAATATATACATTACATTTCGATTGTCGTTTAGATAGTTCCGCCACCAACAATGCACTTTGAGTTTTTGGTCCTGTTAACATGTTTAGTTCAAAGAAATCGTCAGCACTCGGTCGAGATATGCCCATCTTATTTCTTTCCTTCATTTTACGGAAACGTATCGCTTTATCGAAGTTTTGTAAAAATGTTTTCGATGTGTTGTTTATTGGTGTAGTGTCGAGAACTCCTGCGAAAAAAATATTTTATTGAAAAATACAGGCTCCTCCAGTTTGTAGCATTCACATTATTATCGTTTAAGTAGATAGAATAGGTGAAATCTAGGTTTATTTCCTATCCTTAAATATTATTACTAGTTATCTCGTAGTAGCGTAAAAGTTACAATTAAGTATTTATTTTATATTGGTTATTTCTAGTAGCTAATTTTATTTTTATCATGGTATTACATATAGATTTAGATCTCGATAAAAAGTTACATTTATCGCATACAGAAAGATGATAACTTTCCGAATTAAATCATAATATTGTTTAACTTTTTGATTGATTAAATCCGTAAAAAATGGTTTTAATGAGTAGTGACAACGTTGAAGTATACCTACATATTTCTTTTAATGTACGGACATACAATCATCCTTTTAAAAAGCGGTCTAGGTGTAACCCGAAAGGTCCACACGACTGAATTCCCAGTGGAGAAAATAAAAAAATATCATAAATATGTTTTAATATTTTATACAATTTTTCATTCGACACAAAAAACGACGTGACCGATTTTGCTCAAAATTATATGAGGTCTAAGTTACATAATTATACGTTAAATGAAACTGGTTCCATATCAATATCACTCTTTGTTCTCAAAGTTACACGAGGCGAAAGTTGAATCCGAACATACATAACATACATACATATATACGTACATGTGCACACACGGACACCCTCTTAAAAACCATAGGTTACTATTCGATTCTAAAGACCTTGCTATGTCGTTTATTTTCGAGATGTTTTTGCTGAATCGGACCCATTACAATAACTTCCCACTAGGGAGTTAAAAACAGTAGAATTGGACTCTAGGGACATCAAAATGTAGAGGTAAATTAAGATTTTGACTTTCAAACCGAAAATAAAATTTTCTAAATAGGAAGCTAATATTTAATAATTCAAAATGTATTTAATAGCCAAAAAGTACACTTACGTAATTGAACGCATCTAGCGATTATAATTTCTTTATATCTATGTTTCTTTGTCATGGGGTTGCCAGTAAAATTCACGTCGACCAAACAAAGTAGAGTGCAGAGATGATCTGCTACAACCTAAATACAACGACAATAATTAGTTCCAAATCACTTAAAAATTGTTTATTTAAAACTGAGGTGACAAACCTAAAGTCCACCTGATTTTAAGTAGCTAATGCAGTTCATGAACACCTACAGCCAACTTAAAATAAAAAGGCGTTGTCATCTCATGAGGACTAAGAAGGATTACGAGGAGTTTACAAAAAAACCCGAAGTTACAAGGTTTCCTCGTTGAAATATTATGTTTTCCGTTCGTTGCTTGAAGTAACAATTACTTGGTAAAATAGTTCGTTTTCTCAACTACAATAACGTCGAGGCAAATTTTAGATAACTTACTAGCTGACCCGGCAAACGTTGTTCTGCCATAAAAATTATTTCTAGGAAATATTTTTTTAGTTCAATAATAAATAGCTAACACTAAGTGTGTGGACATGTAATTGTAATTGAAAGAGGAATGAAGGGTTGTAGACGATTAAAGTATACTTTATTTAAGTTAATAAATTATTCTTTATTAAAGTAACAAATATATTATGTTAAATTACAATTCTTGATAGCTATGTAAACATCGAAAATAGTTATTCACATTTCTACTAATAATTATGGTAATTAAAAAATAAAGAAAGATTAATCTCTCAGCGCAGTGGAGTGAATAATATTTTTGGTCAGTCCGTCTTTAGCCATTACATTAAAAAAAATCCCACGCGAGAACATGCCACATATAGTTGTCCTTCGGAAAAGCATGGCGTACCCAAATCTTAACCACAAAAAGACAAAGTTTGGCCTTGTGACCTATTGATCGTCATTGCGAATGCCATACTAATTGGGAATTGTATGCGTTTGAATTCAGTCGGCACATCTGTAGGAATCATAGAAACATAGGGTTTCGTGGCATCAATACATTTTCACCTCGGAACTTGCCATTCAAAATGTTGGCTTCGATAACGTTTTTGTTTAATTTTTAATGACTGATTATGTACCATTGCAAAGCCGTGGTGGGTTTAAATTACAAAGCAAAATAACCGGAGATTCAACCTTCAATTGTAAATGATGCGATGGCATGCCTGGCATATCCATTGAATTCAAAAACTCAATTTGGTAATTCACAGCTTCGTTGGCATCGCAATTTGTATCACACCAAGTCCCCTGGCAACAACTGTTCTATGTTATAATGTAATGAAAAAAGTTGAAGAGAAAATTGAAAGAATTTAATCAAAGAAAGTTTTCTGTTCATCATTTAGCAGTGGAACATTGCGATAAAGCTGATTAAAGACTTCAACTTTTCTGTAAAAACACGTGCTGTAATGTCATAACGATGTTATTTCATTTTGTCCTGGTAATAGCAACGATGTAATTTCCGGCTATTTTGGATTACCTACATGTAAAATTAATAAAAAAAAAACACGGTCGTCCATATTCGCGCACGAAAGTTATATCATTCTGTATGTATTCTTGCATGTGACGTAGACTACCGATGTACGATGATGGTAGAATGACCGAGTTACTGATTTCGGCAGTATCAGCGTTGTTTGTAATAGCATCTCGCAAGTGAATGTATTCTTCGGCACTCAGATTCTGTTGGTTATGTCGCAAGTATCGTAGTCGGTTACTCTCTACATTCACGTACATGAACACCATGAATTGTTGGCAAAGCTCACGACATTGTAAAATGACGTTGTCTTGACCGCGTCTAATCATCATACGATACACATAATAATCTTTCGAGCTAACGTTCTTGTTTGCTACTGTAATAATATAAATTTAAATTAATTGACGATTTATTATTTAATAATAAAATAATTATGTTCTTAGTAATGAATGAGTTACTTGTTACGGGACCTCGTTATTTAATGTTTATGCAATATCCGTCTTGTCCCTTCCCGAAAATTAGCGGATATTGGAGAGCGTATATCATACTAGCACTTAGCGGATTAACATAGAGCGTATATCAAGCTGATACCCGCCGTTTATATGATATGAACGATGGGTATCAGCAATGAACTGAAGATTACTATTTATTCTTCGAATCACGATTTATCACGTAGCAGTACGACCGCCAACCATGATTCCAGCCACGTCGTCAACAACAGGTGCCTTAAATCTACGTATATGTTCTCCAGCTGGTGTTCTATCAGGAATGATGACAATAGCGTGATGTCATTTTTTAGCTTGGGCATGTGTGATTTTAATAATTTCAACAATTAATTGAGCTTATTTAACAGAGCGTCCAGCTCGCCAACGATGCGCTTGGTAAAAGGTGAATTGAGGTTATTGTAGTCGCAACATGCATCCACGCGATTGGCAAGTGCGCGTTCGGAATCCTTGCCACCCATAAAGCAAATTTATAAAAAATTATGAGATTCGTTTGGAATTGGCAGCAATGAGCCCACTTTGTGATAAACCTGGCCTTTTATTTTGAACATGGAATTAAATTGTTGACCATTTTCAGCAATACTTTGAACTATTCCTTCCTCTGAGGTGCCCATCGGAGGCAAATCATGCCATGGTTTGGTCTCTACTGTAAAATAGCATCATGCTATAAGCAGGAGTGCTACCAAGCAAGGGCTAACGCATCAACGTCCTGGGATGTAAACACCAGCGCTCTAAAAAAGAAGTATAACTCCGCCTCCAGGTCCTTCAAAAGAGTCATTGCCAGGGCAAAGTCAGAGCACATAGGCAGAATTGGCGAGAAAATAGTTCGCCTTTCTTCTGGAACCCGTGCATTCTAGTCTCTCGCCAAGGCTGTCCAGGGTAATTTCTGTCAGCCATCTCTTCCACCTCTGCACAAGGAGGACGACTCACTGGCCTATGCCGCAAAGGAGAAAGCCGATCTGCTAGGCTCTTTCTTTGCGTGCAACTCGACTCTCGATGACGGGGGAACTATGCCAACTACCATCCCGCGGTGTGAGTGTTCCATGCCGGTGGTGCGGTTCACAGCGCTCGGTTCGCGAAGCACTCCTATCCCTGGACATCCACAAGTCGAGTAGGTCTGACGGTATCCCCCCAATTGTGCTGAGGACGTGTGCTCCAGAGTTGGTACCGGTTTTAACGCGTCTTTTCCGGTACCCCTACTCTCTAGGCGTAGTCCCAAAATCATGGAAGACGTCTTTCGTCCACCCAATCCCTAAAACACAGTCAAAAACTCAGTTGCTCTGACCCGTCCAACTACAGGCCCATCGCCATCACCTCCTTGTTCTTCAAAACAATGGAATTTATTGTAAACTGCCAGCTCATGAGGTACCTTGAGAATAACTAGCTGATTAGTGATTGCCAATACGGTTTTCATCGTGGTCGATCAGCTGGTGAATTTCTGGTCTACCTGACTCATAGATAAGCGGCGGCAGTAGAGTCCAAGGGAGAGGCATTGGCCGTTAGTTTGGACATTGCGAGGGCCTTCGATCGGGTTTGGCACAAAGCGCTTCTTTCGAAGCTCCCTTCCTATGGGCTTTCCGAGAAATTGTGCAATTGGATCACCAACTTTCTTGCAGATTGAAGCATCAAGGTCGTTGTAGACGGTGCGAGCTCCGATTCCAAGTCTATTAATGCTGGTGTTCCACAAGGTTGCGTGCTATCACCAACGCAGTTTCTTCTGTATATCAATGATATGTTGCAAACCAGCAACATTCATTGCTATGCAAATGACAGCACTGGTGATGCTCTGTACAGCGGCCGCGCCAATATTACTCGGAAAAACGTCTCCGAGTACCGAGACAAACTTGTGTCTGAAGTCGAGTCTTTGCTGCAAAAAGTCTCGGATTGGGGGCGACTAAATCTAGTCCAGTTTAACCCTCAGAAGACATAAGTTTGCGCGTTAACCGCTAAAAGGTACCTCTTTGTCGTATCTCCTCAGTTTCAAGGCACTCCCCTTGTTGCCTCAGCCAGTATCGGAATCCTCAGCGTCGAAATATCGAGTGATGTGCAGTTTCATGGTCACTTGGAAGAGCAGGCTAAATTGGCCTCTAAAAAGTTTGGCGTTCTCAGCACAGAGAGAGCGGGACAGTATTTCATGCCGGCATACCGCTTGCAACTTTACAAGGCGCAGGTTCGGACGCACATGGAATACTGTTCCCATCTCTGGGCTGGGGCTCCCCAGTGCCAGCTCCTTCCACTTGACCGCATCCAGCGCAGAGCGGCTCGAATTTTCGACGACCGAGTGCTTTCCGATCGGCTAGATTCACTGGCGTTGCGAATAGATGTTGCATTTCTTGGATGCTTGGCGGTCCACAACTGTACGTTTCACTAGGAGTTTTCTTCCGCGTATGACCTCTCTGTGGAATAGTTTACCACCGGGAAGTTTTCGGGACCGATACAACCAGGGGACCTTCAAGAATAGAACTTACTCCTTTTTAAAGAAAGGGTCGGCCACGCACCTGCAATTCTCCTGGTGTTGCGGTTGTTCATGGGCTGTGGTAGTCACTTAACATCAGGTGAACCGTATACTCGTTTGCCCTCTCTTCTACAATAAAAAAAAACTTATTCTGTTGCCCCGAAAGGTGTCATTTGAAAACACGAACTGAATGTGTGAATTGACTTAAGGAACAGGCTGGAATCTGGATCCGTATCGATAAGTAAGCTGTGCAACATTGATTCTCTGACTCTCGAGCTAAGAAACTCGTGTTTTGTGTTTGTTGCTCCCCCTTTAAGTAAGTTTAATCAAAAGGTCATTTTCTCATCTAATGATCGCCACACACGGTCAGTTCAACTGATCATTCCAACTGTTCTGTTCAATATTTAAAAAAATATATCAACAGTTTTAGTTGTGTGGCGTCCATAATAACAAAAGTTACATGTTACTAAATACGAATTAAATAGACCGTGCTTTGTTGCATTTCTTGGGGTAAGCCTATGTTCAACAATGGACTTGTTAAGGGCTGTAATAGTGATGATGAATTAAAATTAGTTGCTCCTTTATTTAGTAAACTAAATAGGTAAGGTACAGAAATATGAAATAATAAGAGCAAGACTTTATAAGACAAAGATCAAAGATTAATTAATCTTTGATCTTTGTCTTAAGTTAGTGA